AAAGAAAGAAAGAACTCTAGGGGGCTGGGGAGATGGCTCAGTGGAATAAGCGCTTCCCTGGCAAGCGCAAGGGCCTGAGTTCAATCCCCGGTTCTGGAAAAAAAAAAAAAAAAGAACTCTATAATAGGTAGAGAGAGGCTGAGGCCAGGCATAGCAGCAGTGAACCGCAAGTCCCAGCACTCGGGAGGCTGAGGCAAGAGGATCATCCTGACCTTGAGACCAGCCTGGGCTACATCATGAGTTCAAAGCCAACCTGCTCAAAATATATATAAACAAATAAAAAATTTTGAGGCTGCTGCCTCTGCCTCCTGAGTGCTGGGGCTACAGGCAGGTGCCATCCTGCCTGGCAAGGTGAGGGTCTTTGGAGTCTTTGTCTAACAGGTGCAGGCCCTGGGCTCCATCCTCAGCTAAAAAAACAGCAGAGAGAGACTCCAGGTTCTGGGCTGCAGACGAGGCAGGCAGGTTTCTTCGTCACTGTCCCCAGGCCCAGCATTGGGAACATGGAGAAAAGGGCAGAAGGCTGCACCCGGAGAGTCACCTGAGAAGACAGAGGTGAGGGTACATTATTCATGCGCCCTTTAGAAATGGCACGGTCAGGCCAGCTGAGTTATGCGAGGGAGAAAGGGGCAAAGGGGCAGCAGCTTCTCCCCTGAGGGTGGACACTCTGAAGTCACGCTGGCTGCCTGCCTGCACGCAGCCAACAGCGAGGCTGAGCGTGAAGAATAGGGCAGGGACAGAGCAGGGCTCCTAACCTCTGCCTGCCCTGCGTCAGAACTGCTTTTGGGGGGTTTTGAACTGAGGTGAAATTTACATCGCATCAAATGAATAATTTTTGGTGGCAGTGGTGATCCGTGCATCCATCCATCCCTCAGTCCGTCTGTCCATTCAGGGTGCCCTCAGTGCTGCTCAGCTGTACCCCCAGCCTTGAAGCCACTGCTGTAGAGCACATGCCTTCAGGACACCCTGCCAGGGACACCTCTATGGAGTCCCAAACTCCATCATTACCAGTTCCAAGGCCAGGTGCTGCCCCACCCCAGTCCCTCTTCCCAGCCCTCAAAAGCAGTTCCTCTTCCTGTCCCTGTCCCATAGATCTTCCTGTTCCAGACATTTCGTCTAAATGGGATCACACAGCATGTGGCCTGTGGGGTCTGCCTTCTCTCCCTCAGTAGCGTGGAGCAGGATTGAACTCAGGCCCTTGCACTTGCCAGGGAAGCGCTTATTCCACTGAGGCATCTCCCCAGCTTGCAAGCGCTTATTCTACTAAGCTATCTCCCCAGGCCTCTGCGTGGGGCTTTTGGGGTTTTGTTTTTTGGGATCCTGAGGCAGGAAGATCAGAAATTCAAGGGCAGGCTGGGAAGATAGCTCAGCGGCATAAGCACCTGCCTGGCAAGCGTAAGGTCCTGAGTTTGATCTCTGGTAAAAAATAATAATAATAATAAAAATAAATAAATAAATAAATAAATAAATAAATAAAAAATTCAAGGACAGCTCAAGCTACAGAGTGTGAGACTCTGTATCAAAATAAAATAAAAAACAAATAGGGTAGGGTAGGTAGCCCACTGCTCCTTGAGTTCAACCCCCAAGTACCACAGGGAGAAAAAAGTAAAAAAGCAAAGGTGTGGTTGGTGCGTCTATCATGCTAGCACTAAGCTGAAGCAGGAGGATCTCTAAGTTAGAGACCAGCCTGGTGAGATCCTGCCTCAAAAAAAAAAAAAAAAAAAAAATCAAGATGGTAAATTTAAGTTTTGTGTGTTTTCCACTAGACACTTGGACATCAGCGGAACCCAGATCAGTGGGATCTGCCCTCCCAGCTATTCTGATGCTCCAATTTGAGAACTTGGGCGTAGGTTGTTGGAAGGATTAGGGATCGGACCTAGATGGGAATCACCACAGCACAGCCTGGCCCCACAGCCTGTCTGGAAGCATTCCCCATTGATGCTGTTGGTTGATTATTTTTGTGGCCACCGTTCTACCACTGAGCTACATCCCAGCTCTTTTAAAATTTTATTTTATAACACTGAACTGCCCAAGCTGGCCTCCAGGTTGACATCCTCCTGTCTCCACTTCCCCAGTAGCTGGGATAACAGGCATTGTCCACCAGTATTGACTGACTAATGGGGGGACTGGGGATGGAACCTAGGGCCTCTCTGATGCCAGGCCAGTGCTTGCCACTGAGGGACGCGCCAGCTCCTGTTAGGTTACTGGGGGGACATGGCTGAGTCCTGTCCTGGCTCTTGCTGGCTCGCGTCCCTGATTCCGCAGAGGCAGTGTGAAGAGCTTCCGACGTCCCCCTGTCAAGATGACAAGGAGTCACACAGCATCACCCTGGCCTTAGCAAAGGTTATCGCTGGCTGGAGACGGAAAGGTCGAGCTGGCGCGGGGAGATAACGAGGTCGCCCAGCTCCCTCAAGCGCATAAATGGGCCGCTCTAGCTAGACGCTGCACCCCTGCGTCCCGGGTTTCCTTGCGCAATGGCCCGGCGCGCCCTGCTGCTGCTTCCCCTGCTACTGGCTGTGTGGATGCGGGATCCCGGGGCCGAGGGCCGGGCGGCGCCCTACGGAGTGAAACTGTGCGGCCGCGAGTTCATCCGCGCCGTCATCTTTACCTGCGGGGGCTCACGGTGGAGACGCGCGGACGCCCTGGAGCTCGAGGCCGCGGGTGAGCGCGGGCGGGAAGGCACAGGACAGAGGGGCCCATTCACCCGCCTATCCACCCTCCCACCCTTCTATCTGTCCGTGCATCCGTCTATCCTTCCAGTTCCCAGTTCCTAGTTCCTGGGCTTAGCTCGCACTGGCGAAGGCACTGTGCTTGGCCCCGCCTGTGGACATGAGGCTGAGGTGGCTTCCAAGACGCTGGACTGGAAGGGCATGGGCTTGGCTTTGCTACCTAGGAGCGACCCCTGCTCAGCACCTGGCCTTCCCGGTCTGGGCCGTCCGTTTTGGAATGGAGAACACTGTCTGAACCTTGCAGAGTTAGTAAATGTCTAGGCTAGAACAGGTAAGGGACAGAAGCTCAGCAGGAAGGGCCTGGCAAAGTGACAGGTGCTCCGGAGGATGAGGATGAGGATGAGGCTAGGTGGGTGGGGGGATGGTGAACAGATGGAGGGACGGAGGGATGGAGGGAGTGTAGAGCCAGCGGGTCTGTATTGACTGAGCTCAAACAGTGGCCCTATAGCTGGACCTGGTAGTGCATGCCTGTAATCCCAGGACTCAAAAGGCGGAAGCAGATTATCGAGAATTCGAGGCCAGCCTAAATTATAGAGTGAGACCCTGTTTCAATACAAGGAGCCTTACAACAATAGCTGTGCATCATACAAATTCTCTAGAGTCATCCCTCAGTGATCTCTGGAAAATGAGGGTACCAGTAACAGCACCCACCTGATGTAGTTGTGATTGAGAGGAATAAAGGAACTAACTCCCTAAAAAAAGAAGTCCACTTTAGACCGTGTCTGGCACCTAGTAAAATCTTAATGCATAATCAGTGATTAATAAAATTTATTCTTGCTTGTCATTTTCCTGAGCTTGTTAGAGGTTTTTAAATTTGGCATTCAGCCCTTATAAAATTTAAGGAAATGGGAGTTATTATTGCCCGCACTTAGACGAAAACCGAGGCTCAAGTCTACTTACTCAATTTTAGAGAGGCTCGTACCCAAATACATGCTTTCAACTATGGGGTCCTCACTAAATAAAGAATAGGAGAAATAAATGGCAGGAAAGTCAAGCTTAATAAGGTTGAGCTGCCAGTCAAAACTGATGGCATAAAAAACAAAAAAAAAAAGGGCTGGAGAGATGGCTCAGTAGAGTAAGTGCTTGCCTGGCAAGCACAGGAGCCTGAGTTCAATCCCCGGTTCCACAAAAAAAAAAAAAGCCTTGATGGAATTGTGACCCTGATTTACAAAGCTGGCTGGATCCTCAGCCTGAGGCCGCTGTGCAGGAAAGGGCTGCAGCCAGGCCCAAACTCAACTCTCTTTTGCAGTGGATGCCTTTGAGGGTGTGGACGGCAATGCGGACAGCCTAGCAGGAGAACCGGATGACGCCGTGGGCTCCAGCGAGTGGTTGGCTCTGGTCAAGTCCCCCCAGGCCTTCTACAGTGGCCGACCCAGCTGGCAGGGATCGCCTGGGCCTCTGCGTGGCAGCCGAGATGTCCTGGGGGGGCTCTCCAGCACCTGCTGCAAGTGGGGATGCAGCAAGAGTGAGATCAGCAGCCTCTGCTAGGCTGGGGCTGGGCGTCCGGGGACCACGGCACTGATGTCCCAGTCCTGCCACCCCAACCCCCGAGCCTATGCTTCCAGTTCCGCACTCATGGATCTGCGGGACTCTGAGCACGGCTGTGGCTTGGATCACCCCGCCTCCATCCCTGAGCTCAGACACTCCCACTGTATCCTGAGCCAGCTGCACCCCAACCTGAGCCAGCAGGGACCCTGCCCTCTCCATCTGGCCTCACAGTCCCCTGCTACTCCCTGGTCCCCACTACACGAAAGTGGCCAAAAGAAGCCCCTGTCCCCAACTCCAGGGCAAACCAGCTGCTCCTTCTCCTTTGCCAGCCCCTCCTGCCCTCTGCTCCTTCTCTCCCGCTGCCCAGCACCGAGCTGCTCTGCAGACCGCGGGACCGCTGCGGGGTCCCAGATTCCTGGATGTCATGGGCCGGGAGGGGGCGCTGTGGGCGGGCGCAGGCTCCTCCCCAGCCCCGTTAATAAAAGTTCCAAGGACTCTGAGAGTGTGTGTCACTGGCGGGGCGGGATAGGTTTGGGGGAGTTCGGCGTCCCGCCCCCGCTCCAGTACTCGGGGACTTTCCGCTGGGACTGGCTGGGACGCGCTGGAGCGGCAGCGAGGGTGGCCGGCCTCCCGTCCCAGTCTGGGCTGCGCGGCACCTCCGGAGCCATGCGGAACGCACGGGATGCCCCCCTCCGGCTGCTGTGGCTGGTAGTGGCGCTGCTCCCCGGGACTCGCGCCCAGGGTGAGTAAGTGTGGGCTGGGGCCAGGGTCTCGGGGTCGCCGTCCGCCTGGGGGATGCGATCGGGGCGGGGTGCAGGGGGCGCCCAGGGTGTTGTGGGTGGGGGTGGGGTGGGAGCCCTTGGGTGATAACAGGATGTGGCTGAGAGCGGGGCAGGGGAGAAGGTCCGCCCAAAACTGAGTGAGGGTGCCTGGCACCCCATTACTGCGCGCTGTCAGGGCCCCCCAGGCCACCACGGTGAGAAGTTTGTCCCAAGACCTGCGATGTGGGGCTGGGGGCAGAGCTGTAGGGGTGCATCCCGCATGCAAAAAACTAAGGAGGAAAAAGCAGTTCTGAGAACGGCTAGTTGTTGGGAGCATGGGCAAGTGACCACCTGTACTCTCTCCAGGCAGCGCTGGGTCGCTGCAGTGCTTCCGAGTCGGCCCCCAGGGGAACCTGAACTGCTCCTGGGAGAGTCTTGGGAACCCGGGAGACCCCGTCGTGCTGCACCTTCAAAGCCAGAAGTAGTGAGTATACTGGTGCTGTTAGGGAAACTGAGGCAGTGGACGTGAGCACACTGGGACTCAGGAAAAGGCTCTGCTCCTTCCACTTCTCAAGGGAGCCCTTCCGTGCTGTGTGGCCCTACCCTGGTCACTCTCCCTCTCTGAGCCTGCTTTCCTCTGCCCCTCAGGGAAAGGGGAGTGAAGCCCCACTGCCAGGCATTGGTTCTGCCCTTGCAGGGCGCAGGTGCGCAGCCAGAGAGCATGCTGGGTAAGGCCGAGCCGGCTTCCTCCTGGCTTTGTGACCTCAGCAAGCACGCTTACCCTCCCTGTCCATGCGTCTGGTCTCCCCTTCCCACGTGAGAGGTGATGTCACTTCAGACATCAAGACCTTGGATGTTTTTGTCATATTTCTGTCCTAAGCGTCTAGAACAGGGGCTGGCACAACACACCCTGGCTGGCCAAACAGCTGCGTGGACCTGAATGTGCCTTGTGTGAAGAGAGTAGGAAACATAAGGAGCAAATTTCACATCACATGCACAGAGGAGCTGGGTGTGGTGGTGCGCATCTGGGGAACTGAGGCAGGAGGATCATGAGTTCAAGGCCAGCCTCAGCAACATAGCAAGACTGTCTCAAAATGAAACATAAAAAAGCCTGGCAGGGGCCGGGGAGATGGCTCAGTAGAATAAGCACTTGCTTGGCAAGTACAAGGGCCTGAGTTCAATCTCCGGTTCCATTAAAATAAATAAATAAAAAAGCCTGGGGATGGACATTAGTGGTAGAATACTTCTAGGTTCTATCCCTGGAACTGCAAACAATGATAAATGTTGAATATCTCATTTACCTTTTTGAATACAGCACTCACTGGCCCAAAAGGGAGAGAATTTTTTAAAAATCTGTATTTGGTACAGGGTCTCACTATGCAGCTCAGACTTGTAGCGATCCTCCTGTCTCAGCCTCCCCAGCGCTGGGATTACACTCATGCGCCACCATTCCAGGTCTCAGTGGCCGGCTCAGCATGCACAGGGGCAGGGTTGGCGCAGCATACAGTGCTGGAGATCGGACGCCAGTCCCTGTGCTTGCCTAAGCAAGCTCTTAGTCCGCTGAGCTAACTCACTGACCTGAGAGAAAATTTTTTAATTTTTTTTAATTCTGGGACTGGAACTCAGGACTCACACATGCTAGGCAAGCACTCTAGCACTGAGCTACACCCCAGTTCCCAAACTTCAAAAAATGTTGGGGCTGGGGAGATGGCTCAGTGGAATAAGCACTTCCCTGGTAAGTGCAAAGGCTTGAGTTCAATCCCCAGTTCCACAAAAGAAAGAAAAAGAAAAATTTGTTTATTGTTTTTGCAGTACTTGGCCCAGAAAGAGATAAATAATTTAGTTTTCTTTTTCAGTGCTAGGGATTGAACCCAGGACCTTCACACTGATCTACAGTCCCTGTCTTTTTTTAATTTTATTTTTTATTGTGAGAGGTCTTGCTACATTGTTCAGGCGGGACTCATACTTGTGATCCTCCTGCCTCAGCCTCCCAGAGTACTGGGATGAAAGTTGCCTGATTCCAAAATTGCAAATCTGAACTCCAGTTTTTGCTGCATGCCTATTCCTTGTCACCGTTCTAAAGTAGAAGTGCACCTCGGCATGCTCATACCCAGGGAAGGGCCATACTGTATCCCCAGCACCCTTCAAGTGCTTTCCGTGTCAGTAGATTCCCTCTGAGCTGTCCCTCCTGCAGGCGCTGTTAGCGGGTGTGAGGGCTGAGACACAGAAACAGTTGGAGAGCTTGCTTCTTCTGGTCATGCAGCTCAGAAGCAGCAGGTCTGGGCTTTGGGTCCAGTGGAGCAGGTTAAGGCCCTAGGTCTGATTCTGGGTGTCACCGCCACTCTCCTCCCCAAATGTCCCATAGCCACATCAACAGAACCCAGCTGGTGCTGGTGCCCGCAGGGCAGAACTGGGAGACCATTTCTCGGAAGGTGCTCACCTCAGGGGACCAGCTGCTTGTCTGGGGGACACAAGGAGGACACCCTCTCTGGGGTCCCATCTTCATGGACCTGGAAACACAAGGTAGGTGGCAGAAGTGGGTGCTCCACGTGGGGTCACAGGGACCCCCCTCACCGCATGCTGCCTCCTCCCCCAGTGAAGCCTGATGCCCCCTGGCTGTTATCCAACGTGGACTTCTCAGAGGATGCGCCCCTAGAGGCCACCGTGCAGTGGCAGCCGCCCAAATGGCCGCCCCTCAAGGCCCTGACCTGTCAGTTCTACTACCAGAGGTGCCCCGAGCCAGGCTGGTTCCCAGTGAGTATCATGGGGGCCTGCAGCCCAGGGGCCCACAGAGCAGGCCCCAGCTATAAGCTTTCTATTCCAGCACTCAGGGAGGCTGAGGCAAGAGGCTCACATCGGACAATTTAACAACTTAGCGCAACGCTGTCTTTCCTCACTAAATAATCTGTGCTCCTCCACAGTCACGTCCCACAGCCTCAGATTCAACTATGTCAAGATGGCAAATCTCGGGGGGAAATGGGGAGTGTACTGCACAAGAACAGGTGATTTTTTTTCTTGGCGTGACTCCCTGAAGAACCCAGTGAGACAGCTGTGGCTGGTGTTCTCGTGGCCTCGTGTTCTCTACGTGCAGAAGTGTTCAGGCTACAGAGCACATGACAGGTTTTTGTCAACCCTGTGACCCTAATGGAAGGGATGGACCATGAGCCCTCCCCTCAAGGATACTGCAGGGGAAACATTTTATGCAGTTGTGACCCAAGGGCTGGTGACCGTCTTTGAGAATTTCAGTAAACCTCCCCTAACTTTTTTTTTACAAGAATAGAACTATTGCTGGGGAGATAGCTCAGTACAGTAAGTGCTTGACTGGAAAGCACAAGGTCCTGAGTTCAATGCCCAGTACCACGCGCGTACACACACACACACACACACACACACACACACATACAAATAGAACTATCAGATGGTTTAAGCTAATCTTAAAATAACAATAACAACTGACAAGAGTAAACACTTAAGAGAACAGCTCCTGGATGCCTGCTGACTTTGAAAAAGAAAGACAACAAGGGGCTGGGGAGATGGCTCAGTGGAATAAGCGCTTCCCTGGCAGGTGCAAGGGCCTGAGTTCAATCCCCAGTTCCGCAAAAAAAAAAAAAAAAAAAAGAAAAAAGAAAAAAGATAACAAAAACAGCTAAGCTGGGTACAGTGACTATAGTCCCAGCTACTAGGGAAGCTGAGGCAGGCAGATCACTTAAGCCCCAGAGTTCAAGGCCAGCCTGCACAATGTAGTCTCAAAAGAAAACCCGGGTATCTATTTTATAGTTGAGGAAGCTGAATCTCAGAGAAGTTATGAAACTTCCCCAAGGTCACAAAGCAAGAAAGTGGAAGACAAGTCACAAACGAGAGGATCCCAGAAAGATTGGGAGACCCAATTATGCACTTTAATGCACAACTAAGAAGTTGCCTGTCTTGTTTTTGGTTTTATGTCCTTGGTTGATAACACAGTCACTTGGCCTCATCTTACTGCAAAGGAGACTGGGAAATGTAGTCTTCATTCTTGGCAGCCATATTCCCAACTAGTACTCCAGAGTTTTTTGTGTGAAGAAAGATGGGGAGAAATGATTGGGGGTTGTCAACTGCTACAACCACAGATTTTGACACAAAACATTGCAATAAAGAGCAGAGTTGTGGAGTGCGGGTCCCCAGCATTCTGGCTTCCATTCTCAGCACCATGGGGGGGGGGCAAACTTGGTGTCATTGTGATTGTCGGTGCCATTCAGTGGAACTCTGCTACACAGATGTCAGAGCCTGGCTGTGGCACCTGCTTCGTGGCCTCCAGCAAGAACCTACCACCTCCCCCTATCCTTAGCGCTCTACCACTGAGTTGCACCCCAGCTCTTTTCATTTTTAAATTTTGAGACGTTTTGCTAAACTGCCCAAGCTAGGCTAAAACTTGGGGCCCTCCTGCCTCAACCTCCCAAGTAGACGGGATCACAAGTGTGCACCACCGGGCCTGGTCAAATTTTGCCATGAAAAGCCCCAACGTTCTGCACCCTTTGGGTCCTGGGCCCACCAGGACAGCTGGTCACCAGCTCGTGCACCCTGGGCTCGGTCCTGGGGCCTGGCTCTCTGTTCGCTTTTTCAGCTTGAGCCGGAACTGAAGACTGTGCCGCTAAGCCCAGTGGAGATGCAGGAGCTGGAGCTCACCTCTGCCTACAGTGTGCGGGGCCGCTGCAGAGTGGAGCCGGAAAGGGACCTGTGGGGCGAATGGAGCCCGGTCCTTTTCTTCCAGACTCCGCCCGCTGGTGAGGCCCCGGCTCGCCCCGCCCCCACTTCTCCTGGTCGCCTGGCTGCTCATCACCTCCCATCCTCATCCTTCCAGCCCCTAAGGACGTGTGGGTCGCAGGGAAACAGTGTGTGACCCCAGGAAGCGGAGCAGCCCGGCTGGTGTGGAAGGTGAGCTCGGTGCTCCGGTGCCCCTCTCCAGGGCGCCCCCAACAGCAAAGATGCGGACCACGGGACGTAGTCTCTGCTGCCCTCTGCAAGCGGATATGGGGATTGCGAGCAGGAGCTCACAGACAGGAGGACCTCCCGAGTAGGGGAAAGAACTTGCTCAGGATGTGGAAGCAAAACCGGAGTTCAGAGGCCTGCATCAGACGGATAAGCACATCGGCTAGCGCACAGCTATAATCCCAAGATGAGGCCTGAGGATCGCACGGTTGAGGATAGCCTGGGCAATTTAATGACTTATGGAGACCCTGCCTCAAGATAAAAAAGGCTGAGGATGTAGCTCAGCAGTGGAGCGCTTGCCTAGCATGGGTGAGGTCCTAGGTTCCATCCTCATATGAGAAGAAAAAATAAAGAAAAAAAAGTACCATAGGCCTCACTAATTCGTATCCATTGAGGATCTATTATCTGTCAGGTATCATTAAGCCCTGGATCTCACAGGCATACTGGCACTGGCTTGTAATCCCTACACTCTAGGAGGCTGAGGAAGGAGGTTCTTCATGAGTTAGAGGCTAGCCTGGGCTACATAGTGAATTCAAGGCTGGCCTGATCTCCATAGTGAGCCCTGTCTCAAAATTAATTTTTTTTTTTTTTTTTTTTTTTTTTTTTTTTTTTTTTTTTGCATTTAAGTGTTATTTAAACTTAGTACTGGGCATTTTGTTTTGTTTTCTTGAGATGGGATCTGTTGCCCAGACTGGTCTTCAACTTCTGGGTTCGAGCAGTTCTCCTGGTCTCAGCCTCCCAAGGAGGTGGGACCACAGGGTTGCTGGGCTTTCCATGTTTGTCACCCGTAAACTTTGTACTCAAGAGAGTTCTTCCCTTACATTATTTAGCCCTGTCCCAGAAACCGCATCCAAATCCCGTCTATGCAGAGAGGCCCCCCAAAATTTGGTTTCCATATCTGTAAAACAGAGCCAAATGTGCTGCTTCTCTGCTTGGTTTATCAGCCTGACCTCACTGAGACACATAGTAGGTCTCCCCATAATGAGGATGGAACCCAGGGCCTTCCCACTGAGTGCCATCCCCAGCTCCTTTTACTTTTTTATTTGAGGCAAAGTCTTGGTGAATCACTAAGTTGCCCAGGCTGAGCTCATACTTGCAATCTTCTGCCTCAGCCTCCTGGAGTTCTGGGATGACAGGCATGAAGTGCCACACCCAGCCCACCATGGGTCCTGGGTGAATGGGGGACATGAACCCTCTTGCTTTCTCCCCAGACCCCGGGGCCCTGTGTGCAGGTGAGCTACCAGGTGCGGTTCTGGGCTGGAGAGACGTTGCTGATGCAGGAGGGGGTGCCCTGCTGTTCGTGGCCTGTCCCTGCCTGGGCAAAGCAAGCCAGTGTGTCTGCTGAAGGTGGCATCCCCTGGGTGTCCTCCACCAACCTCTCTTTGATCTGCTTGGGTAAGAGGCAAGAGCCCCCTCTGCTCGGGATGGGGAGTGGACAGAGCCTTCTGAGTGGACAACAAGGACTCTCTTAGATTCAGATTCTGCGCCCCAGGACGTGGTGGTCAGCAGCATCTCTGATAGCTCTGGACTGCTGGTGAGCTGGCGACAGGGGACCCAGGAGCTCTGGGAGTATGTGGTGGCCTGGGCTCCAGATGGAAAAGACCCGGAGGACATCCACTGGATCCGGCTTCCTCCAGGGAACCACAGTGTTGTGCTGCCAGGTGAGGCCAGGACACGGGTCCCACCTATGTGAGTCCATCTTCTGTTGCTGTGACAAAGTCCCTGAGGCTGACCCTTAGGAAGAAGAGGGGTTGACTTGGCTTACAGTCCAGATGCTCAGTGTTGTCATCTGCAGGCTCTGGCAGAGTCCATGGCCACCACCAGGGGCCACTATGGACTAAGCAGCCTGAACTGGAGGATCAATGCCCTGAGACACAGAGGATTCTGGGTGCTTCTCTGCTGCCCCTGGTGGGCTCTAGCAGTACTGAGCCTCAGTTGTTCCTGGTGGGAAGGACTCCCTCCCTCCATCCTCCCACCCTCCCTCCCTCCCTCCTCTTGTTCCTTCCCTTCCCTCCTTTTTTCCTTCTCTTCCTTCCTCCTTTCCCTCTCTCCATCTCCATTCCTCTCCCTTTCTTTTTCCTTTTGTGGGAACCCAGAGCCTTTGCACTGAGCTACATTCCCAGCCCTAGTTTTGAAATTTTGAGACAAGATCTCACTAAGTCTCTCAATGCCCAGGCTGGGCTGGAGTTTGGGCTCCTCCTGCCTCAGCCCCCCCAAAGTGCTAGGCTGGTCTTGAACTTCTTGGCTCAAGCAATTCTCTACCACAAGCCATACTGGGGACTTATTTCTTAACACTATTTCCTGGCTGGCTTTCAGAAAAGAAAGAAAATTTCTTTTCTTTTTTGAGGTGGTATTTTGAGACAGGGTCTCACTATGTAGTCCAGGCTGGCCTCAAACTCCCAGCAGTTCTTCTGTTCAGCCTCCTGAGTGCTGGGATTACAGGTGTGCACCGCCATGCCTGACCTGGCTGCCTTTCTTCTACTGTCTCTCTTCTGCCCTGATCATGTCTCCTGGGGTCACTTGCTAAATAGATGCCTGGCGCTCGTCTTTATCCCAGGGTGTCCTGAGGACCTGGGGAAGATGGTGTCCATTGAGAAATGAGCGGGGAGGGAGAAGCAACCCTAAACAGCCTTCTTTCTCCACCACCCAGGCAATTTCACCAGAGGGGTGCCCTATCGCATCACGGTGACAGCGGTCTTTCCTGAGGGCCTGGCGCCTGCTCCCTCGGTCTGGGGCTTTGGAGAGGAGCTAGGTGAGAACAGGGCTGGAGGGTGCAGAAGATTCCTGGCACCTGGTGGATCCTGACCTGCTGTTTTCCCCACAGCACCCGTAGAAGGCCCAGTACTTTGGCGGCTCCCAGATGACCCCCTGGGGACCCCTGCAGTTGCATGGGGAGAGGTCTCCAGGCAGCAGCTCCGGGGCCACCTCACCCATTACACCTGGTGTGCACAGAGCGGCTCCAGACCCTTGGTCTGTGTGAACGGTGAGACTCCCCTTCCCGAGCCCCCTAGACCCAGGCCAGCCCCTCCCTGATGCCCAGGGCCCTCTGGCTGCCTCTCTGCCCTGGGGACACAGGTGACATCTACTCCCTGGAGGAGGGTGACTTCCTGGCTATTGATGTAATGGCCTCACTGCGCCATTAAAACTGAAGACTCCAATCTATGTGTATTGATGTTGAAAGACATCTGTCATATTTCATTATGTGAGCAAGATGGAAAAAGTTCCAAAACTCTGGAGATGACTGCCTTTTTAGTATTAAATGAGCTCACGATCAAGCAAAGCCAAGCCGCAAATATGGAAATAAATTTCTTTCAATGCCAATAAGGATTATAGGGTTGCAATGTGATTTCCATTTTTATTTGTATTTGGTTTGTGGTACAGGGATTGAAGGGCCTTTGCACTGAGCTACAGATCCTCAATCTATTTTTTTTTTTTTTCAGGTAGTGAGACAAGTTCTCACTAGGTGCCCAGGGTGGGCTCACACTTGGGATCCTCCTGCCTCAGCCTCGCTGAGTGCTGGGATCACAAGTGTGCACCACTAGACACTCGTGTGTCACAGTTGAGTGTTCTACAGTACATGTTAGGCTCTGAGCAGGTGGTTGGAATATGGCCTGTATGAAGCATTTGTTTTGTGTTTTTTTTTTTCCGGAACCAGGGATTGAACTCAGGCCCTTGCACTTGCCAGGGAAGCACTTAATCCACTGAGCCATCTCCCTGGCCCTATGAAGCATTTGTTTTTTTGAGGTGAGGGCTCATTATGTTGTTCAGTATGGTCTTGAGCTCCTGCAATCAAGCGATCCCCCTGTCTCAGTTTCTACAGTAGCTTGGACCACAGGTGTCTACCACTATAGATACTTTTTTCTCCCTTATTTTCTCTATTATTATTATTATTATTATTATTATTATTATTATTATTATTATATGTGTGTGTGCGTGTGTGTGTGTGTGTTGCTCAGGATGAAATCCAGGGCCTCCCAAATGTAAGCAAACACTACTACTGAGCTCCACCCCAGCCTGGAGGTGACCTGCACACAGAGATAAATCAAACAATATCTAAGAAGTATTTCAGATGACGATCTGCGCTGAGTAGAGAAGCAGGGCAGGCAGGTGGTGCAGGTGGGCAGGGATACAGTTTTCAGTGGAGGGGCACTCAGTGAAGGCCTCACTTTGGAGATAGCATTTGAACATAGACTGGAGGAGGGCCCAGTGTGGGTGCCTGGGGGTGGGTGCTGTGGGTGGGTGAGGCCGGTGTGTGCAAAGCCCATGTGGTAGGGAGCGCTTCCCTCCCTTGTACTTGTCCTGTTCCTCAGTGAGCAGCAGCACGCGGACTATCACTCTACCTGGCCTCCCCGGGGGACCCTGCAAGCTGTGGGTCATGGCGGCCACCATCGCAGGACAGGGCCCCCCTGGTCGCAGCCTCCAGTTCCACCTGCCAGGTAGGGCCTAGGGTGGGACTGTCTGCTTCACTCAGGGGAGGGGACATCTGGAGCCCTCATCTGGGCTTCAGGGCAGGGACAACCTTGTGACTTGAAGGGGTGGATCAGTATGTGAAGGGTTCTGGGGACTGAAGCCAAGTCCACACGCAAACTGTGCACATCTCTATGACTGTGATGCATCCCCAGCCCTCACTATGTAGTTCTCACTGGTCTTGAATTCACTATTCAAGGCTGGCCTTAAACTCCTGGCAGTCTTCCTGCCTCAGCCTCCCGAGGGCTGGGATGATACACCTGCAACACCAGCAGCACTTCGAGGGGTATTTTGAGTCTAATGCTGTTGCACCCTACCAGGCCCCTGATCGCGACCTATCAACACTGCCTTATTTACAAACCCCACCCCTCCACAAATGTCCTAGCCCCGCCCACTTATGAACCCCACCCACTCCATCTCCCAAGCCCCACCCCATTCACACGCTTTACAGCTTCCTTAAGCTTCTTAGTGACTAAAATTTTTTTCCTCCCCTCCCTTCAGGGAATACTTTGAGCTGGCAAATCCTGCCCCGAGTGCTGGGCCTGTGGGCCTTGCTCCTTCTGGGCTGCTGCCTGGGCCTGGCCACCTCTGGAAGGTGAGGTTGGGGTGGGGAGTTGTCTCGAGGTTTTGGGGGCAGCCACTGGACATTAGCTGGACTTTGGAGCCTCAGGACTCTGCAGATTTTGCGCATTCTGAAGCTTGGACAGTGTCTGGAGCCCAGGCTCCCTGCCCTGACCTTACCTACCCACCAGGTGCCTCCACCTAAAACACAAGGTGTTGCCCCGTTGGGTCTTGGAGAAGGTTCCTGATCCTGCCAACAGCCATTCTGGCCTCCCCCACATTGAGGTGAGCGAAAGAGCCTGCCTGGCAGGTGCAGTGGTGCGTGCCTGTGATCCTAGCTAAGTTGGAGGCTGAGGCAGGAAGATTGCAAGTACTAGTCCAGGAAAGGCAACTTAGACCCTTTTTCAAAATGAAAAATGAAGAGCTGGGGGTGCAGCTTAATAGTAGCACACCCTTAGGTGCTTGTGGGAGCTCTTGGGAATTAGGGGAGTCAGGGACAATGAGGGCAGTAGGGAAGGGAGGCGATTTCAGCCACATCTCTTCCCTGCAGGTCTCACACCCTCAGCCCCCATCCCTTGTGGATGTGCCCATCCTGGAGGTTGAAGAGATGGAGCCGCTGCCACCAACGGAGCTGCCCCAGGCCTCGGCCCCACTCCACTCTGGGTATGAGAAACACTTCATGCCCACAGCAGAAGAGCTGGGCCTTCTGGGGCCATCCAGTCCCCATGTGGTGGCCTGAGCCTTGTCCAGCCCGGAGCTACAGGATAGACTGAGGGTACTTATGCAGGCGCACCCTCCCTGGGATGAACCCACCTGACAGATGAAGACCCTGAGACCAAGCAAGCCTGAGCCACTTGCCAGAGGACACCCAGTCAGGAAGAGCAGGGATTGGGAAACCAATGGAGAGGGGCCCAGCCTCAGCAGGGAATGCATGGGGGGCTGAGTGTGCAAAGGAAAGTGTGGTGCAGCAGTGTGTCCTTCGGCTGGAACAGAACCACATCTGGGCCCAGTCCCACCCTCCCCTGACGCTGGATCAGCCATGGACTGAGTTCTCACAATGGAATGTGGGCAGAAGTGACACGGGCCAATGTGGGGGGGTGGGTGAGTCTGAAACACTGCGTGGAGACTCCTCCACACTCCTGCTGTGAGCTGGAACATACCCGTGCTCATGACCCAGCTTTGACATGTGCAAGTGGACAAGGACGCGAAGAGTTTCATCCCTCAGGGACTGTAGGTCAGAGCCTGAATCCTTCAGTGCCCACATGGAGCGACTGTGTGGATCAGACCCTAAATTTCCCAGTGACCGCATGGATGAGTCAGAGCCTGAATCCTTGAGATACCACGTGAACAGAGCCTGAATCCCCAAGGAACTTCCAGGATCAGAGTCTGAATCCCTGAGTGACGGCATGATCAGAAACTGAGTCCCTGAATGACCACATCAGTCAGAGCCACAATAACCTTGTCTTTTTGCTACCGTAGCTTGAGATGATTTTGGTACAGCAACCAAACCTGCTCTTGGTTTTTTGTTTGTTTGTTTGTTTTTTGTGGTACTGGGGATTGAACTCAGGACCTTATGCTTGCCAGGCAGGCGCTTATGCCCTTGAGCTATCTCCCCAGCCCCCAAACCTGTTCTTGCTGACCCATAATTTTTTTTTTCCATATTAAATAAAAATATATATATATTTTTTTTTTTTTTTTTCTTTTTTTAAATCGTGGTGCCGAGGATTGAACTCAGGACCTTGTGCTTGCCAGGCAAGCACTTACTCTACTGAGTTATCTCCCCAGCCCCCAATTTTTTATTCCAGAATTAGGCCCTCCGTTTCCTAGATCACAAGGTGAATCTGTGCTGACGACACACCCATTCCAGCTGTCTTGAGTGTTTAAACATTTTATTTTCAAGTATAAAGGCTTGGTCACAGAAGGGAGGCGGAGTCACAGGCAGTGGGCAAGGGGTCTGGAAGCCCAGGCATAGGCAGGGTGGGCCGGCTGGCTGCTGGGTGCCACGGCCAGTCCTGTGGTGACCTGTCTGCGCCCGGGACCCTCTGCTGGATGCCAGGAGGCGAGGTAGCTGTGAGAGGCACTGGGTGGGGCGCGGCGCAGGCTCACATCACCGCACAGCACTGGCACGTCTTCTGCTTGGGGCCACTCGCTTCCTTAGCCTCAGCATGGGAGGTGGGTTCAGGCTGCCGGGTGGGGGCATAGGTGGGTGCAGGGTGGGCACTGGGGTTGGTGCTGGGTCCCTCTCGCAGAAGCAGTGGCTGGCTCTCAGTGGGCTGGTCTGGGGCTGGGGTCTCTGTCAGGAGTGAAGTGGCATCCCCAGGAGGGCCCTGTGCCTCAGCAGGAGGTTGGGGTGCTCCCCCCTCCTCTTCTGGGGAGCCTTCTTGCTTCTCTGTGACCTCCAGCTCTGGTGCCAGCTCCTGTGTGACCCCCAGGGGTGCCTCCGTCTCGCTTCCCTCCTCGGCTTGGGATTCACTTCCCTCCCCCGCTTCCCTCTGTTCTGTTGCACTGTGCAAGTCCCGGCCCCCAGGTGTCCCCTCTGCTCCCAACAGTTCCTCACCTTCTTTTCTTTTGGTCACCACGGGCTCCTCACCTTCTGTCCTTTCTGCCTCTGACAGCTCCTCACCTCCTGTCGTCTTTGTCACCAAAGGCTTCTCATCTCCTGTCCTTTCTGCCTCTGACAGCTCCTCATCTTCTTTTTTCTTGGTTACCATAGGCTCCTCATCTCCTGTTGTCTCTGTCACCAATGACTTCTCATCTCCTATCCTTTCTGCCTCTGACAGCTCCTCACCTCCTGTCATCTCTGTGACCAATGGTTTCTCATCTCCTGTCCTCTCTGCCCCCAACAGTTCTTCACCTTCCTTTCTTTTTGTCACTACAGGCTCTTCACCCCCTGTCCTTTCTGCCTCTGATGGCTCCTCACCACCTGTCCCCTCTGTCGCCAAGAGTTCTTCAGTGATCCCTGGCTCTTCATTGCTACCTTTCTCCTCTACTCTCAGGGGCTCCTCCCCTCCCAGTCCCCCAGCCTCTCGCTCTTCCCCCCCTCCTCTCTCTGCTTCCAGAGACCTCTCTTTGCCTGCTCTCTCTGGACCTGCTGGCTCCTCAGCTTTCTCCTTTGCCCTCCCCTCGCTTCTCTCCTCCTCCGCTCCCACAGTTCCTTCCATCTCTACTCCTGGCTTCTCTATGTGTCCCTTCTCTGCCCTCAGAGGCCCATCCACATCCAGCTTCTCGACTCCCTCTTTCTGCTCATCTACTGTCCCCTCTAGCTCTGAGGATGCCTGCCTTCCTGTACTTGTCCCCTCTGGCAGCCTCTCTGCTCTGCCCCACTCTGTCCCCTGGCTCTCCTCAGCCCCTTTCTCCCCAGCTTCCGCAGGCCCCTCTGCCCTCCTCTTCTCTGCAGCCCATGTGTCTCCACCACCTCCTCCATCTGTCCCTGGTGGTCCCTTGACAGCCTCCCTGCTCCCCAGAGGGCCCTCTAAGCCCTCCATTAGCAGCTCCTCCCAGTCCTCACTGACTGTTACCCTCTCCACCCAGATGAAAGAGCCCTCATCCCCCCCAGGTCTCCCCTGCCTGTCAGGCTCCCTGGCACTGGACCCCGTGCCCCCCAAGCGCTCCTGGAGCCCTGGGTCACCACTGCCCACCTCCTCCAGGGCCTCGGGGTCACTGCCTCCTAGCCCCTCCCAGACCACTTCCACAATGCCTCTGTCCTCCCTCACCCAGGCTGGGAGCTCAGGGCTGCCAGGCCCCTGTCTGTCTCCCATGGCTTCAAGCACCACCTGCTCTACCCTGGCCTCCAGCTCGGGGCCAGTGGCACTCATGGCACAGTCCTGGGGCCCCCTGAGCCCCTCCCACACCACCTCTACCACATCCCCTCCTTTGGCCTTCACCATGCCCCCCTCTGCCTTGGTCCCTGTCCCTGGGCTCCGCCGCTGCTCCAGAGGTGGGCTGGGCCCTGAGCAGGGGCCATTGGCTTCTTGAGGGGACTCGCCTGCTCCAGGTACCTGCCTTGGGGCCCCCTCCAAGGGCTCAGAGTGGGACTCTGGGGACAAACCCATGGGCCCCATCGGCAGGGAAGCTCTCTTGTCCACATCCGCCTGGCCTGGTAGAATCAGAAGAGGGGAAAAAAGGGAAAGAAAGTGAGGATGACCAGCTGGTCATGCAATCTGGGGGTGACCTGAGCCCCACATCTAAGTTCTCCAACACTTACCTGCAGAAACTGCCTCCATGATGGGCTGGGAGAGAGGACGGTGACCCTGTGGAGATGACAGAGATAAGGTCAGGCAGGCCTCACTGCACACCAGGGCCCCATCCCTGCTGAAATACCCTCAATGGCTCCATGTTACCAGTAGGACCAAACCCCAGATTTCATCTAGCCTTGCATATTGTCCCATCTCTATCTGATCCAGGATCCCACACACAGTGGGTGTTTCAGCCATACTCCATGCGTGGAACTAATCTCTGTACCAGGGGCCCGCTCTGCCAGCTGCTGAAGTTACCTTGCACAAGGGATTTATGTCACTCATTCTCATTCAAAGTATGTGTGTGCGTGGGTGGGTGTATATGAATGCTGGGTATGGAACCCAGGCCCTGGCACAAGCTAGGCAATTGCTCTACCCCTGGGCTGCACTGAAACCCTTCACTATTGGGTCTTAAATTCCAGTGAGGAGAGGTGGGAAATACAGGGGAAGAGGACTGTGGAGAGGGGGCAGGAGGCAGGGGCTGGAGGGCAGGTTTCCTCCTGTGGGGAGCAGAAATGGAAGGGTCTCTTACAGAAAAGGCCAGAGTGACCCCTCAGAAGTGACATAAGCCAGCCAGCAGTCTCAGGTAGGGCCAGCATGCCAGGCAGAGGAGACAGCAAGTGCAAAGGCCTTGGAGCTATAATGGGGCTGGGAAAGCTGAGCAGGGGCTGCAGTAAAGGGGCCAGTGAGTGAGAGAAAGACGGGCCCAGAGTGGGGGGTGGGCTGAGAAGCAGGCTGTGTAGGCCAACCCCGGGGTGTCCTCAGCCCTGTGACCCTGCCTTCCTCCTTCTAGCCCCCTGCCCCATCTGTGCCTGGACTGTCCCTTCTGCCTTAGTAGTGCCCTTGCCCTCTTGTCTGATGACCCCTCTCTCAGCCTGGATTCATTTTAGATGTCTACCAGCAAGCAGTTACTCATTTGGTACACAGGGTTGAAGCCAAGCGCTTCACACTGAGCTCCAGCCGCAGGCCTTTTGTGTTGTATTTTCGGGAAGTCTTGCTAAGCTGCCCAGGCTGAGCTCTAATTTATGGTCCTCCTGCCTCCGCCTCCCAGAGTGCTGGGATGACAGGCAGCTCACCCAGCCAGCCCACCCTGAACTCCCAGGCCCTCTCAGACTCTGCCCCACCTCCTCACTAGGCCTTGAGCCTCAGCTACATCCCGCACGTCTCTAGAATTTCCACATTTTCTTTCCTTTCTTCTTTTATTTGTTTTCTCTAGACAGGGTCTTCAAGCTGGTCTTAAACTCACTATGTAGCCCAAGATGGCCTCAAAATGATAGTGATCCTCCTGAGTCAGCCTCCAGCATGCTAGGATTACAGGTGTGCGCCTGCACACCAGGCTCACCCATATTAACAAACTTCCTCCCTCCCAGGTACTGATGCTCAGAGGCCACTGCTTCCATCCTTGAAGCAGCAAATCCAAGTGCTGTTGCTATGTCCATTTAAAGATGGGGAAACTGAGACTGAAGCAGGGAAACGGCCTTGCCCAAGACAATACAGAGTGCGTGTGGACCCCAAGGTCCTAGTTTTAGCCCTGCTGACCACGCCCCTCCCCACACCACTTACCTGTTTGCGCCAGGAGGGCCTGCCCTGCGGCCGGTGCTGGGCACCTGTGGACGCGCTTTGCAGCAGCTGGAGCTGGGACTGGAGTCTGCTGACGAGAGAGGGATGCTGAGAGGACACCCCAAGCTCAACCCTACCCCCCAACCAGCCAGGAACCGGGCTCACGTGAACAAGCTGTCCTCCAGGTTCTGGATGCGAGCCTGGGCCTGGCCCTCGGGAGATTGGGGGTCCTGGGCTGCAGGGTCCCCGGGCTGATCTGGCCCCTCAGAAGTGCCGTCCATCAGCCAGCGCTCGCGCAGGGATTTCCTCTGGGCAGGGAAGGAACACGCGCTGGGCACAGCCCCGCCCAACAAGGGTGTCCCCGGGCCCCACGGACACCATCGGGATCCGCGGCTGGCCAAGGTGCACGCCACGGGGCCTCCTAGCACTGCCAGGTTCCTGGCCCACTCTCAAATGCCCACGCCCCCGGCTGTCCTTCAACCTTCCAAAGGAACAGGCAACGATCCCAAAGGTGAAGCCAATGTCCCTCCCTATGGGAACCCCTTACCCAAAGCTGACCTAAGGCACCCCCAAAATGAGACAAAACCTCACGGTCTTAGACTCTTCCCAGGGCAGGACAATTGTCCCCACTGTCACACCACTCCTTCCATCAAAAGGCTGGGAATGACGCCCCCAAATTTGGAAGAAACCCCTATGGTCCCGCGAACCGACTCATAAACACCCCCACTTTGTCTCCCGTCCCGACCGGGCGGCACCCCCACCTTGAGCCGTTGCACGCGGAGCTTCTCCTCTTCCAGCTCGCGGCGCGCCGCGCGGATCTGCTCCTGCAGCCGCTGCTTCTCCTGCGCAGAGCACCGGGGCTGGGCGGGGCCTCCCCTCCACGGGGCTCCCTCCACCTCCACGGGGGCTCCCGGGCTCCAGCCCTGCCTGGGGGCACGGGGGAGGGGCCGCGGAGGCGCTGACTCAGCAGCAGCCTGGAGGGGGCGGGGCGGGGCGGCCGCGCCCGGGATGCTGCGGAGGCCGCCGCGCCCAATAGGGGTCCGTGGAGGGGGGTGTGGGGCGGGGCCTTGGTGGGGAAATCCAGTCGGAGGGGATCCCCAGACCCCGTTCACAGAGATGGGAGGGGTCTACATTTGGGGATGCAAAAGAGGGTGTTAATCTGAGACGGGGTACAGGGGGAACCCCATAGACTGGTGAAGAGGTGGAGGAAAGAGAAATGGGGTACAGAGATGCGACCAGAGAGATGGAGTGTCAAAGTAGGGGTCAGGGAAGTGGGGGTGCTAATATGGGGGCAGGGAAATTGAAATGCTCAGGGGGGCTAGGAAGTGGGGTGTAGATGCAGGGCGCTGAGAGTTCGGACGCTGAGAGAAAAGTCAAGGATGGAGGCCCACATAGAACCGAGGGGCGGAGTCCGCAAAGAGGCTGGCTCAGAGGGTCCCTAAGGAGGAGTCTAAGCTTCAGGGACTTGGCTGGGGCTCCGACCTGGGGTGTCTGGAAAGTTAGGACTGAGGGAAAAGCTTCAGGAGCTGCAGGTTCTGGGCGTGCCGGGCCCGCAGCCCCACCATTCTGGGGGAGCAGAGAGCAGAGGAATGGGGAAGGGAGGCTGAGGTTTAGTGGGGCTCCCTGCCAGGGCCGGAGCTGATGAGGGACACTGCTCTCACTGGAGCGCGACTCTCCCAGGTGGTGGAGAGGAGGAAGGGGCAACAGGGATCAGGGAGGAATTGGGGTTCCCAGGGCGGGACCAGTGCTCAGGGAGGGCGTCACTTACGGCGATGACCTCCAGCCGCTGTCGGTAGAGGGAGCTCTCGGCCACCGGTCTGCAGGGACAGGGACAGGGACAGGGACCCCAGCCCTCAGCGCCTTGGCTCCTGATCGCCCATTTCTAGGCCCGGAATCCTGGGCCACCCAGCACACAGAACCCAGTCTCGGTCTCCCATTTATCCCTGAGGGGAGCCTGGGCGGAGGGCGAGGGTCTAGTTAGGTGGAACAAACCGAGAGTGAGTGGTTAAACTAAAGTGCTTCCTAGGTCTGAGGTCCCCTCTCTCTGTCTATTTCCTCATCAGTTAAATAGGTAGTGATAGCTTGAAGCACCCCCACCCAACACAAGTATTCACACTGGAGAAGATGTAGCGCTCTAAAATAGTACCGTAGTTTTTACTCATCAAAATTAAAATAGTATCATGATTAGCACTATTTATTATACCATGGGAAGTCTGTGTGTAGAAATTCCAATTCTGGCAGGCACAGAGCATACTACGTGTCTCTGGGCAGCCTCACACTCTCTCAGGGCCTCAGCTTTACCCAGGATCCTTTAACAGCTTGGACAGTGGGGGTAGGGGGAGTGTGTGAGGGAAGCTGGGTAGAGAAGTGGCCATCTGTCGCCATGGCTACCTTGAGGCCCCTCCTCCACCTGGCCTCTGGGAGCAAGGGTCACTGGGTCATGCTGTCCAGTCCCGGACTCTGCGCTTCAAGGAAAGGGACTCATGGTTTAAGGTTTAACCTGAGATCTCCCCCATCCTTGTGTCCCCCCTTCAGTATTGTACTAGATGGGGGGCTGAACCCAGGGCCTTTGTACTGAGCTACATGCCCAGTGTGTTTTCTATTTTTTATTTTGAGACAAGGTCTAGTTAAGTTGCCATGTTGCGCAAGCTGGGCTGGAACTTGAGATCCTCCTGCCCCAGCCTCCCAGAGTGCTGGGTTGCTGTTGTGGATCGTAGTTCCTCAGTCACTATTTAGAAAATGACATCTATCTGCCTGTCATCCTGTCACCAAGGTATGGGCACAGATAAATCTTCAAGGGCACATCCATTTGTACTGAGCCCTATTGAGAGAGCCAGGTAGCATGGTCCTGTCATTGCCCCAGCAGTTCCAGCTGGGACCTCCCAGACCTTATATATCTCCTAAGTGCCCTCCCTGCAGGACTTCTGGGGGGCTCCCCTTGCCCACTCTGATCCCAACTCCATGGCTAACATCCACCCCCAGGGCTGATATTTCAAGGTTCAGCCAACTTTAGCATGCAAACCAGGGGACTGATCCACTCCTCCCCAGGAGGTAGTAATATCCCCGTTTGACAGGTGAAGAGACCAGTACTCTGAGAAGTGGCAAAAGGCACTGTTTAAAATGCTTTGCAAAGCATCAGGGTGTGGTGGTGCACACCTGTAATCCTAGCACTCTGGAGGCTGAGGCAGGAAGATTATTGCACGTTTAAGACCAGCCTGGGCTGCAAAGTGAGCTCAAAGCCAACTTGAGCTGTACAGTGAGACTTTACCTCAAAAAGGCAAAAAACAAACAAACAAACAAACAAAAACAAAACAAAGCAAAAAACACCACACCTAGCAAGCTGGAAGTGCTGGGTTCGGTCTTCAGCACCAAAAACAAAACCTAAAAATCCTTTGCAAAGCTAGGCATAGGGGTGTACATCTATAATCCCAGCACTTGGAAGGATGAGGCAGGAGGATTGCTTGTGAGTTTGAGGCCAGCCTGGGCTACAAAGTGAGTTCTAGGCCACCCTGAACTGCATAGTGAAACCCTGTCTCAAAAGGCCAATAAATAAATGAATAAATAAATGCTTTTCGAACCCTGGCACATGCCTGTCATGCCAGCACTGTGAGAGGTTGACACAGAAGGATCTGATATTTGAGTCCCTCTTGGGCAATGCAGTAGGATTCTGTCTCAAAATAAAAATGTCTGGGTTTATAGCTCCTCAATAAAACACACACACACACACACACACACACACACACACACACGCAAGCACGTGTATGCACACACTTTACCTACAGCAACTCATTTTGTCTTCCCTATAACTCTAGGAGGTAAAGACCTGTGCAAGGTCACACAAGAGGGCAACTTGAAGTCCTCAGCTCCCAAACCCTGGAGGCACACTGCAGACAGGGTGGGGGGTCCTTAGGAACCCCCATCTGATCATGAGAGGCCAGAGGTTGGCCTGGGGATCCTGATCTCTGTTGGGACAGGGGACTGGAGTTTGCTTTGTACTGGGGTCCCTAAGGGAACCCAGGTTCCCCACTTCTGTGTCTGCCTCTGGGGAGCACTAAGGTCCCCAAGATGTAATCTCCCAGCCTCTTCTTCACTGGGGGGGGGAGTAGATCGGGTTCCCGTTGCTGGGCAACCACGTGTGTAGTTGGTGAATAATGCAATGCAGGACCCAGAAGGGCGAGGAACAGAATTGGGGTCCCATGGGAGGAACCCCCTTTTCTAGGCCTCTTCCCAGGCTTTTGGCACCTTCCTCACCCTCTTACTTTAAAATGTCTGTCATGCTTGAACACTACAGCTCTACGTGTGCACACACACACCCTGCTACTGCCTGCATTTCTGCCAGTGAGCACTTAGCTGGTGGCCACAGCCCTAGGACCACTGAGAGCAGATGGTGGCCACTTCCTTTAACTATAATCACCCCTTTGCAATTCTTTTTTGCAGTTTGGAAGATGCTGATTTCTCTGTGGACCTCAGGCATTGATGGGGTGACTTGAAGACTTTGGGACTCTCCACCTCCCAAAAGTGTAATCGCCCTATACCCTTGCCTGCCAGAGAAAACCCCTCAAGAATGGGAACCGAGAACTTGTATGTCCCATCCAGCTCTCTGGGGAAGGGGGCTTTGGAGACCCTAAGGGCCTTCACCTCCTTTCCCTGCCCTTGCAACCCCTGGAAGAGGCTACTTAGGGTGCTGGGCTTCTAGGCAAGATCAGCGTGTTCCCAGAGCCCCCCAGCCCCACCACCAGCCCCATGTCCGGACACTCACATGGGTGTGGCCGGAGCCCAAGCCTGGCTCTGCAAGGCCATGTCCGCCCAGGAGCACACTCTGCCCGAGCGCAGCGCGGGACCGCTCACCGCCGCCTGAAGGTGTCCCGGATGGATGGGACGCTGGGACCCGGCTGGCGGGAGGGGGCCCAGGGCGGCACCGGGAAAGCTGGTCTGGCTGGTTTGAGCGCCCGGAGGGAGGCGGAGGCAGCCGGTCTGCTCAGTGGCGAGGGGGCTGGGGCCGGCTCTGGGAGGCACTATCAGCTATCGGATGAATTATTTACTAGCCCCAAGCCTGCTGGCTGCACTGCTTGGTCCAGGCAAACACACTCTGGCCCTCATGGTCAGGAAGCAGGCGAGGGTGACCCTGGGCCCTCAGGGAACGCACCTTTGTGTGGCATTCAGACAATGTAGAGGGATCAGGCAGTGACTGACCACCCAAAGCCACTGTGTGCCAACAGTTCTAGGCCCGGGGCCCACGGAGTGGGGGCGTCATCCAGCTGGGACTTCCTTAGCCAGCCATCTAGGTCCTGGGGGCCCTGGGGACACTGAATCCATGTCCCATCACCCTGCCCTCAGCTTCCCTTTCTGGGAAAGGGGAGGATCAGCAGACCCTACCACGACCTTCCATAGGGAAAGGTTGGGAGTACATAGTGGGGTGCACAGTGTAGGCTGCAACGAGACCTACCCACACCCCTATGTCTTTAGGTTTATGCTAGGAAATGGACCGAGAGGCTCCAGAGCCACAGACAAGTGCTCCATCACTGAGCCACCCTCTAGGTCCCTTTTTAAATTTTGTTTTGAAACAAGGTCTCACTAAGTTGTGATCAACTTAAACTTGTGATCCTACTGGGCCTAGTGGTTCATTCTAGAAGGCTGAGGCAGGAGAGTCACAAATTCAAGCCCAGACTGGACAATTTAGCAATTTACCAAAACCTTGTCTGAAAAAAATAAACAGGGCTGAGGATGTCACTCAGTGAAAAGGCCCTGGATTTCCACCCCTAGAGTTATTATTATAAAATAACAACAGGGGCCGGGGAGATGGCTCAGTAGAATAAGCACTTCCCTGGCAAGCGCAAGGGCCTGAGTTCAATCCCTTGTTCCGCCAAAAAAACTTAAAAAATAGGGGGCCTGCCCCTTAGCTCAGTTCTTTAAGTGGCTGCTTCAACAAAGCAGTCAGGCTCAGTTGCTGTGGTTCATCCCTACAACTCAAGCCAGCCAAACCTGCCCTGAAGGAATTAAAAGAAAAAAGGGGAGGGGGCAGGGAGATGGCTCAGTAGAATAAGCGCTTCCCTGGCAAACGCAAGGGACTGTGTTCAATCCCCGGTTCCACAAAAAACAAAACAAACAAACAAAAAATAAATAAAAATAATAAAACAACAACAACAACAACAAAAATCACACTTGGGATCCTCCTGCCTCAGTCTCCTGTAGTTATAAGCTTCCACACCTCACAGGCTCCCATTCAGGATTCTTGTTTAACACCTGCACCTCATTCTTTTTTTTGGCGGAACCGGGGGTTGAACTCAAGCCCTTGAGCTTGCCAGGGAAGCGCTTATTCAACTGAGCTATCTCCCTGGCCCCACTGCATCTCATTCTTAAAGGGCCACCATCACTTTCTCAGCTGCCAGTGTATTCACTGAACTGTGCTCCTGCGGAAGTCAGTTCTGTGTCTGGCCCAGGTGGACAGTGCTGGTGCCTCTGCACCAGTAGCCCAGCTTGCACTGTGCAGTTTCAACCCAGGCCAGTTTCAGGACCCATGCTTTAGGGGACATTTTGGAAAGGGACTTGCCTTTGTGGCTAGAAAAAGAACCCACTCAGACTCTCTCCCTGCTTTTGCTAGACCTTACCTTAGGAGCCACAAGGCAACGTCAGCAGGAGCCTGGGCCAAGAGTGTGAATACAGAGAACAGGGTGTCGCTCACACCAGCTGGACCGCTGTGGGAAGCAGAGGGCTGGCTCTCCTGTGTCCCACGTTCTTACACAAAACTGGGGAAATCCTTACTGTGGTTGCTCACACCTGTCATCCAGTGCTCAGGATGCTGAGGCAGGAGGATCACCACAAGTTCAATGCCAGGCCTGGGCTACATAGAAAGACCCTGTTTTATTTATTTTATTTTGTGTACTTGGTACAGGGTCTCACTACATAGCTCAGACTCAGTGATTCTTCTTTTTTCAGCCTCCCCCCCCCCCCAGCTAGGATTACAGGAATGCACCAGCAGGCTCAATCTTGGTAGTTGGCTCAGTGCGCCTGGGTTGGGGCCAGCATGGCATGTGGTGCTGGGAGACCCTGTTTTAAAAAATTGAAAACCAAAACCAAAAGGAAAAACAAAAATAAGAACAAGTCCACTAAGAAGAATATATGCAGTGTATTATTTGTTGAAACTGTACTTTCGATTTGATTTGAAACTGTCTCATTGCTATATGTTTATCAATAAAACTTTG